GGGTGTCCCATTGGCCATCGCCAGTTCCGTCACTGTCTCCCCCTCCAAGGGCGGACAAGCATGAAGATGGGTGCAGGATGTTTGTGACTCGTTTAGTAGGAAAGTGTACGAGACTTGAAGCTGTTGACTATAATGAGAGCGATGTCAAATGAAGTCTCTTTTTAATTTCCTGAGAATCCTGAAAATCTTCCTAATTTATTTTAGGAGACTTGTTTATCACGGTCATGTGTAGAACTAAACTTAGGACTGGCGAAGGCGCCACGTTTACATGCAGACTGGCACCTGAGACAAGAAATCACATCCTCTAAGACTGTCCCAGATATAGCATATCAAGGCAAACCTTCTGGCCAAGAGAATCATCGGTGCAAGCAAAACTTTACAGGTCGCTGAGTGAATTACAACAGACAGTGAAGGTAATACTAGAGACAGCATTGCAGATATAGATAATCTATTTCAAGCGAAAAAAATAAGAAGAATCACAGACTAATGAAAAACAGAGAAAATATTGCTAATGTGGTCGTACCTTGACCTGTGTCCATGGACATTAATCCTACCCAGGTAGCCTTATAAAGTAAGGTCAGTAACCTCTTCCCTCTTCATCTATTCATGTGTAGAACTAGTTTTAACCTGTTACATCTGGACTTAGTCATGTGTAGAACTAGTCTGAACTTCTTAAATCTTGACCTAGTCATATGTGGAACTAGCTGAAACTAGTTACATCTGGACTTAGTCATGTGTAGAACTAGTCGGAACTTGTTAAATCTTGACTTAGTCATGTGTAGAACTAGTTGAAACTAGTTATATTTAAAACTAGTTCTTTGTAGACATAGTCTGAACCTGTTACATTTGGACTAAATCATGTGTAGAACTAGTTTAAACTTGTTACATCTGGACCCAGTTGTGTGTAGAACTAGTTTAAACCTGTTACATCTGGACTTAGTCATGTGTAGAACTGGTTTGAACCTGTTACATCTGGACCCAGTCATGCATAGAACTAATTCGAACCTGTAACGTTGTTGTCGCCAGACGGACAGAGTGGTAGACATTAGACAGAACTTCTAAGACACTCGTGTATTGTGTATGGGCTACACGAATTACGTACAGTTATCGAAACATGGCTTCTTGGTGCAGTAATTCCCTCCATCATAACAGTAACACCTAGCACACGGATCGTTGGTTCTCTTCATGTGCAGGTACTCCTTGCCATCCAGGAAACAGGATTTGTTTCCTGTGACCAGGTCATGGATGGCGAGAAAACAACTGATCAAACATGTAAAACTGGAAAGGTAATCAGCTCAGTCAAACATGTAAAACTGGAAAGGTAATCAGCTCAGTCAAACATGTAAAACTGGAAAGGTAATCAGCTCAGTCAAACATGTAAAACTGGAAAGGTAATCATTTCAGTCAAACATGTAAAACTGGAAAGGTAATCAGCTCAGTCAAACATGTAAAACTGGAAAGGTAATCAGCTCAGTCAAACATGTAAAACTGGAAAGGTAATCAGCTCAGTCAAACATGTAAAACTGGAAAGGTAATCAGCTCAGTCAAACATGTAAAACTGGAAAGGTAATCAGCTCAGTCGTCAAACATGTAAAACTGGAAAGGTAATCAGCTCAGTCAAACATGTAAAACTGGAAAGGTAATCAGCTCAGTCAAACATGTAAAACTGGAAAGGTAATCAGCTCAGTCAAACATGTAAAACTGGAAAGGTAATCATTTCAGTCAAACATGTAAAACTGGAAAGGTAATCAGCTCAGTCAAACATGTAAAACTGGAAAGGTAATCAGCTCAGTCAAACATGTAAAACTGGAAAGGTAATCAGCTCAGTCAAACATGTAAAACTGGAAAGGTAATCAGCTCAGCCAAACATGTAAAACTGGAAAGGTAATCAGCTTAGTCAAACATGTAAAACTGGAAAGGTAATCAGCTCAGTCAAACATGTAAAACTGGAAAGGTAATCAGCTCAGTCAAACATGTAAAACTGGAATGTAATGTACGTTGATGAGCTCTGTCAAGAGCACTATTAAGACTGATGTTCATTTCTGTAAGGCTGTTCTTAATGCCATCACTCCATCTTTTCCGAGGTCTTTCACTCTCTCTATACCCGTTATAACGCTTTAGTGTGGCTCGCTGTGGCAGATAGTACCAGGGCATTCTTGTTAGGTGTCCAAACCACTTTATTTGTTGTTCTTTGATGACTTGTAAGATTGGCTTTATTCCTAGCATTCTTCTGATTTCATGATTTCGTATTCTGTCTTTCCTTAAAACTCCTGCATCTCTTCTAAGGCATTTCATCTCTGTTGTCACAATTTTACATTCATTGGAGGATGTAAGTGTCCACGTTTGGCACTGATAGCATAGTGTTGGCCAAAAAAAATAGTTCTGATAAGATTCACTTTAGTACTCTGAGGTATCTGCTTGTGTGTCAACAGTGGAGATAGTTGCCCCGTTACATGATTAGCTTTGCAACATCTGGAGCTAATTTCTCTGTCCAGTTGAAAGTTACTCCAAATAACCAAATCAGGAAAAAGGGAGGATGAGGATGGGAGATAAAGAGATAGAAAAAGGGAAGGGGGAAGGGGGGGGGTGGGGAGCTATTGATGCATAGAAATGAATCATGAACATGGGCAAACTGTGTTTAAAGAGTTTTGATTTGAATTAATGAGTAGACCATGGACTGGTAAAAGCCAAATACGGAGGATTCTCCAGTAAAATAACTCATTGAGGCAATTTCAAATGTGGAAAGAATAATCTATGTTGACCTTTGTAACGGCGTGTGTTGATTATTTTTACTTTTAAAGCCTCATTCTTCGTAGATCACTGCCAAGCAACAAATAAACGGGTGGACTGTATAACCATTTTAGATGCATTATTCTTATAAAAAAAAATGTCATGGAGAAAGTTTGCTAAAAAAAATTTTTTTTTTAAATATCCAGAAACCATGAGTTGTGAACCCTTTGGCTCGGTACTATGGATATCGCAACCCTTCGGCTTTGATTCCATGATAGACACCGTAAATCTTGGAGAAATATGGCTTTCCTGCCTACCCCTGGACGTGAACCCGGACCACAAGGAGTTCGTCACCCGGTAGCCGCGAAGTCAGGTTTAAACAACTACCCTAAGGAGTCGGGCTGAACGTTCGCAGATATACGCTCTGATAAGACCCATATTATATCGTAGACTTTCTGCCCAGGATATCCAAGTGTGCGAGGCAACGAGCAGGCTGACATATTAGCTTATACCGGTCCTCAAGGCGGTGAGCTACTATATGATAAAGCGGATGTGGTGAAGGCTCTATGCGAGTGTGGAAAAAATAAATATGGAATTCATACATTGAACGTCTAATTCGTCGAGGTTTGTTTAGAGATTCTGGAAGATATTCAAAATGTAAAAAAAGGGGGGGGGGGGACAGAGGTGGCTCAGGTGGCAACTGGTAATGTTTGCCTTTCAACTCTTCGTTGGTTACTGAAGAAGGAGATAGAGCACGTGTGGGAATGCCCGAGTGTAGTGACGTCAATTCATTCATTCATTCTCATGCACTGGTGGTACAAAGGCAATGATTGACAACAGGGCTAGAGCTATTGCTAAAATGAAAGACATATCACAGAACTGAAGCAGCCGTTTTTGCTCATGTCATAGCCAATCGTTGGCATTTCCGGGTTTCATGTTGACCTTGATTGTTTGCAAGCTCTATTGTCTATTACATACTCCACTGATAAAGACTTTGGTAGAAGCGTTCGGTTGTAATTGTGTCCCTCTTTTTCATTCTCTCGGTTGGACTTTCTAGTCACATGTTTTATGAAGTTATTACGTAGTGTCCTCTGCTTGAGTATATTCATGCCTTTTTTTACGATAAGACAGACATAAAAATATATAATTAGAAAACAGACAGACAGACAGACAGACGAACGAACGAATGAACGAAGGAACTTTATTTTCAAAGGGATACAAATTGGGCACGCAGACCCGTCTTACATTCGGCCCTTCCAAACACCCGTCTTTCACACTGCAGCTGTATTTTATCAATAAGCATGTAATATGTATATGATAATATGCATATTATGAATATCAATAAACAGAAGAAGAAAAAAAAAGCACAAAAGCATGGATGGTAATATGCATGCATCCACACACACACACACACACACACACACACCTACCCACTCACACCCCCACTCACTTAAACATACCCACATACCTTCACACATACATAAACGCACTCCATTCACCCACATACAAAGCTGCATACCCACACAGACACGCACTCACTTAAACACACCAACATACCTTCAAACACACACATAAACACACCCCATTCACCCACATACAAAGCTATATATCCACAAAGACAGGCACATTCCACACACATACAAACATACATATATAAACACAGAGACACACCCATAGAAACAAATGCAGACACACTCACACAAACATATGCGCACATTCCCAATCACACACGCACATACACACACACATGCGACACACACACACACAAATCAGCACACACACACACACACGCAGACACACACAAATCAGCACACACACACACGCAGACACACACAGACACATATGCACAAACACACGCAGACACAAACACACACAGATACACTCGCAGACACACAAACACACACACGATCGCAGTCACACACACACACACACTGATGCTCACACAGATACACACACACAACCACAGACACACACAGGCAGAAGCATAAGCAGGCATTCATACACATAGGCACACGCACAGATACACACAGACACACCCCCACAGACACACAAACGCAAACACATACGCAGACATACATATACACAGGCACACACTCAGATACACATACACACCCATGTTGACACAGACAGACAGACAGACAGACAGACAGACAGACAGACAGACAGACAGACAGACAGACAGACAGACAGACAGACAGACAGACAGACAGACAGACAGACAGACAGACAGACAGACAGACAGACAGACAGACAGACAAGTACAGGGTCTGTTACATACCCACTATGCAGGCCCGACGCTCACAAATGTTTCGTCCCTTGGTGCACCAACACCTGTTACATGGGTCTGGGGTCCTCTCTCCATCCAGGTAGACGGTGCCGTTAATGACGCAGTTAGCTGGGGGAAGGTTGGGGGAATGGGTAGAGGGGGAGCGTGGTGGTGGAAGGGAAGAATAGAATGATCAGAATTGATGACACTCATGTTGCATATACAGCGTAAGTGTCGATTACATCATGTAAAAGTAAGTAAATGTCTCTTTTCAGCAACTTTAGCGCGTATTGGGCATATAGTGCTAGACCTGTACTTTATAGACTAATCGGCCCTTGGTGGGTGGTGGGATTAACGATGAGGTCGTGAATTTGTTGTATTTAAAAGTTTGTGCTCCTGTTGCAGCTTGTACGATCATTTTTGAAACTCTTCGTTGGCTGCTGAGGAGGAGGAAGGAGCACATATGGGAAAGTCCTGAGTGCAGTGATGTCAATTCTTAATCATTCATTCATTTATCTATTGATTGATTGATTGATTGATTCATTAATTAATTCATCCGCTGGACTGTAGTCATGTTGATGTACAGCTCTGAGAGTTTCTAGCTGGTGTGGTATTTAGGTGTTGGCTTCTGTTGCTTAGACTTTGCGAACGCGATTCCTAATGCCGGGGTGCCAGGTTCAATCTCAGCTGCGGGCCTTGGGCTTTGCGTTAGTTTCGACATTTGTAGCAAGAAGCTGACCGTCCAGAAACAATTCCAAACTACCTAACTACTGGACGCAAATTTGCCTAGAAAAACCACAACAGTTAAAACATGCTGGCCTTAATTATGCAATGTTCTGTACAGGATATGCAACTAACTTATTGAGGTATTTAGCTAGGCAGCTATTCTGGGCTAGTAGGTCGACAAGTAGTTAGATATTTCCGTGTGTGTGTGTGTGTGTGTGTGTGTGTGTGTGTGTGTGTGTGTGTGTGTTGGTTAAGATAGTTAAGTATTTTGACTGGACTACAAGAATGTATACATAATGCAACACATACAACTGGAAATCAATACATACCCAGCATGCACTTAGTGCTGAAACATTCCTGGAATCCGTTGTTGCAGCGGCACCTGTCGCAGGGGTCGGTCGTATACTGGCCGTGATTGTAGAGTTTACCATCGATCCAACACTGGCCATCTGACCAGACACAAGAATGGTGCTTGTTAAGAACTCCAGAGAGACAGCTCATTATGTAAGAAACAGTCATAAAAACCCCCACTACTATCTATATTAACCATTTTAGTGGTGTAGTCGGGTGGGGTTGGGAAAAGGGGGGGGGGGGGGGGTGTGGTCTTTTGGCTCAGGAGTTAGAGCCGCATAGTTACCATCGCCGCCACGCAAGGCACAGGTTCGGATTTTGTTTAAGAGAAATTAAAACCAAAACAGTTACAGACAATTCAAAACAAAGTCTGTCACACAGGAGTCCAGAGTAATAAACAGTTGGTAAGACACAGTTGTAGTTCAGATATCGCTAGATAATTGTTATTTTGTCACTGGCTCCTAGACTTGTAAATATAGATAGCTGAAGTTAAAGTAACTGAGCACCTCAACTCCTGGGAAGTAAAGGTGGCCAACTTATTGTTGACAACTTTGCCAACTAAGTGCTGATTGGTCTATATAAATATAGCTCTAGCCGTCTATGCCCAATAAGCCTAAAGGAGTTGAAACAGGTCCTCTTTACTCTACATTACTTGTGTGGTAGATGTTTTCTCTCTCATTCATGGTAGTCCTGCTTTTCCGTCTCTTTCAATATATTAACTCCTTTCTTTTCTCTCTGTCTAAAAACATCATTTTGGTTTAAACTGACCGTCTAATGACTTGATTGCCGACCGAGAGGTCGTGGGTTCAGGTCCTAACTGAGCCGTGCTCTTTTCAAAAAACGACCGTGGCTCTCAGATCGACCAAGCCTTGAGTGGGTACCAGGTAATTACTAGGAGGTCAAGGCGGCTGGAGTGATGCTCACCACATTACCCAACCAGTGCTGATTAGTCTATAAAATATAGGTCTAGCCCTATTACGCCCAGTATGCCTCAAGGCGTGGGAAAGGGCCGTTTACTTTGTTGTCCTGATGACTTTTTAAGTTTGTTTAATTAAAACATTCTAATTGTATTTTCTTCGAATTCGGACTGCGTCTGCTGAGAGGCCAAGAACCCACAGTCTGCACACAAATGAGCCAGATAGGTAAACTGAAGTGCTTGCACAACTAAAGTTCTGGGCTAAGACCAAAGTCTAGAAATGGATGAACAACTAGAACTTTTCTCCGGAGTTTACAGCTGGTCTACTTTAAAATGAAGAACAAGAAGGCGAGTATTTGCACCACCATACTTCGGTCCCCGCATGTCCTTTTCAACCCCCGTCTTGCGATCATTAAAAACAGACCAGATCAAGTCATTATGTCGAATACATACTCCAAGACCGCCCCTAATTAATTAAACTCATTAAGGCAAACCCTTTGGCCTTAAATAACGACAGTGGAAAGCAAATTGTACGAACCGCTAAAAGAAATAAATAGGCCAAATGATACCTAAAACAGGAAAACTACAGATATTAAAAACTTTTTTTTTCGGGCGAACGAAAGAAGAAGGTGACACTTTTTTGTGATGCAGACAGTGTTTTTATTTTTCTCTCTATTCTTCAGATGACAACTCTATAATTTTGTGGAAAGCAGGCTCCCACTCCACCCCTCCCAACACCATCCCTTTATATCTAGTAGTAACTCCGTTATTTCCTCTCTAATGACAAATGTGTCATTTTCTCGGTTTCCATCTAAAAGCAGTTTTGCGATGCTCTCGGTCTAATCACATATGAACTATTGTCTTTCTGTCTTGCAGGAAATCACATCTGAACTATTGTCTTTTGGTCCAGCAGGAAATCACCTCTGAACTATTGTCTTTCTGTCTAACAGGAAATCACATCTAAACTATTGTCTTTATGTCTAGCAGGAAATCACATCTGAACTATTGTCATTCTGTCTAACAGCAAATCACCTCTGAACTATTGTCTTTCTGTCTAACAGGAAATCACATCTAAACTATTGTCTTTATGTCTAGCAGGAAATCACATCTGAACTATTATCATTCTGTCTTTCAGCAAATCACCTCTGAACTATTGTCTTTCTGTCTAACAGGAAATCACATCTAAACTATTGTCTTTATGTCTAGCAGGAAATCACATCTGAACTATTGTCATTCTGTCTTTCAGCAAATCACCTCTGAACTATTGTCTTTCTGTCTAACAGGAAATCACATCTAAACTATTGTCTTTATGTCTAGCAGGAAATCACCTCTGAACTATTGTCATTCTGTCTAGCAGGAAATCACATCTGAACTATTGTCATTCTGTCTAGCAGGAAATCGGAATTCTTATCACTGTCTACATTACTTATTGATTTCCTCTGTGTCTGATGGCAGTTTTGACAGACAGGTATAATGACATGCAGAAAGACAAAATTACAAACCGATAGATAGATAAACAGGTTGATAGGTGAATGGATGGCTAGATGAATGAATAAATTGATATACGAATATTTAGAAAGACAGGCAGAAAGACAGATATGCATATTATGTGGATAAATAGACAGATAAACAGACAGGTAAGCAGGCCGGCATAATTGAATGCAGAAGAACAACATGACATACAGACAAATATACACATTACACAGACAGACAGACAGGCAGACAGACAGACATACAGACAGGCAGGCAGGCAGGCAGGCAGGCAGGCGGGCAGACAGACAGACAGACAGACAGACAGACAGACAGACAGACAGACAGACAGACAGACAGACAGACAGACAGACAGACGGACGGACGGACGGACGGACGGACGGACGGACGGACGGACGGACGGACGGACGGACGGACGGACGGACGGACGGACGGACGACAGACGGACGGACAGACAGACAGACAGACAGACAGACAGACAGACAGACAGACAGACAGACAGACAGACAGACAGACAGACAGACAGACAGACAGACAGACAGACAATAGTTACTTGCATGCACAGAATCAGCCATTAGGCCACACACAAACAGAAGAACCAGGTGGATGGTAACAGACATCTCTCTTCTTCAACTGTTTTCTTCCAAGGTGTCTGAACTCAAGCTGCTGTCAACGTGAGCTGAGCTGGTGGTTCGATCTGACTCCACAAAAACTTGCTTACAGGAGACAACAATGAAAAGTACAGCAAACGAAGACACTGGAATCACACTGTCTCGCTGTGACTGGCGATAAAGCTATTATGTTCGTCGTGAACAACTTCATTGGAATACTTGTTAAGTTTTGTCACCTGAATGCAACCTATTTTACGGCTCTATTTTTTAAATATAAAAGATAAAACATGTTGAGATGTAAACACACAATTGCAGCAAGCGTAATAACGTTAAAATAGTTTTCACAACTAATTCGTCATCGAACTGAACAACACGTCAGAGGTTTCCCTCATTGTAGACAAACATCAATAACAACTTTCACTGCACGTCCAGACAACGGCTTGTAACTCCAATTCTAGCATTTACATCCAATGAGAAAACGACAACCACGTTTGTGCTGTTCTTTGTAGGAAAGGATTTAAAAAAGAGTATACGGGACTACAGCACACTGCCAACATTCGTCCACGTCAATTTCAGTGAAGTGTTTTTCCCCCACACAATCCGTCAGCTTTTTTGGGAAAGGGGGGGGGGGGGGGGGGATGTGCAATTTTTTGTTTGATATTCGGTTGAAAAATAGCCATTGTTTTCTCTGTTATAAAAATAAAGTAAAACTAAAGATCCCTTTTTACACAATAAGCGGATCGGGCATATGGGAAGAGCATCCCATATTTTTACAGACCAATCAGCACTTGTCGGGTGATGTGGTCAGCTTTACGCCGGCCGTCTTTACTTCCCAAGGAAGTACCCATTTTAGGCTGGGACGACCTGCAACGTCCCGTACCATGATAAAAATCCACGCAGCCACCAGTGGGTTTCGATCGTGGTAAGTTGGAATTACGAGTCGGACTCGCAACGCCTAAGCCACGGACTCCGCTTAATGATAATGTAATAAAATGTAAAAAAAAAATGACAAATCAAATGGTTTGCCTACTAGG